TAAAACTAACCACTAAATACTACCAAACGTGAATAGTGACTGCGTATCGTTTCCCTGTAATCCGTCTGACACTTGTACAAGATGCCATTTGGCAATGTAGTTTGTGCATTTTTAATCATCAGTACTGAAGCGCTACCATTCTTTCGGTGCGTTTGTTCGTCAGGAATTTTCACATAAGTGCCATTTACATTCTTAAACCACTTGAATGACAGGTACTTTGAAAGACTCTTTGACATGTGATCAACTACACAAGTGAAATTGAGACTTGCACCGGCAACCACAACTTTTTTCCTTGGCGACACTTTTGGACAGCATGGTATGACCTCTGAAGAAAAAGCGAAGATGATATACATGTAGAAACAATAATGCACACACTGCACAACTGACTGACTGACTAACTGAAAACAAGTTAAGTTTGCTAATAATTTTGCAGCATTTACAGCCGCTGTAGTTTTTCATTAGGGTACTACATGTACAGTCACGCAGAACAAAGTACCAGGCATGACTCACCACCATTGGCCATTAGAATGCAGGGTGGGTTTATGGAGAAGTGGACTTGATTTTCTTCCAAAGAGGCAGCGTGGAGGCAGCATGGAGGCTTTGCGAAGGCAGCATGGCCAAGTGGTTTAGGGCGCTGGTGTTGTAATCTGGAGGTCCCAGGTTCAAGGCCTCCACCCTGTTACAATTGGGATTCATTTCTCGGTAGTCCCGAGTTCAAATCCACGGTCACGCTTTGTAAATAGCAAACTGGTCTGCCTCCTGCCCATTGGGATTTTTAACTATGTTAAGTTTATGTCAAGTTTATTTGAAATGTTTGTTTCAGGGCATGCCTGTAAACTAGCTAAGCTTACTGCTTGTATAGCTAAGTGCATGACCACTATAAATAAGATTTACATTTTTACATTACATTAGGACCTACAACCTTGATACATTGATAAATTTCTGTAGGTCTACATGTACATTCACAGTACTACAGTGCAGGGGTTTCATTTTAACATTAATTTTTCACTAGGAGGGCAACTGGTTTTAACAGGCCGGAAAAACTTTTTGAACTGAAAATTTTCCATTATTTAATAAGGACGAGTTTTTTCCTCCAGATATACATGTACAAAGTGTGGTCAAATGAGTCACTTTGCTCCTGACCAGTGCCTAGCGCTTAATGAAACCCCTGACAGTACAGTGTACATTACACCACCCAACATACAGGTGTTATATTCATGTACAGGTTCCACATGTTTGTACATATGTTATGGTTCAAATGTTACCTCTGCTTTAAATTTCTAAACCTACATGTAGGAGAAAATTTTAAGCCTACAAGTAAAGGTTCTGAGTCATAACTGTATCAATAAACTTAGTACCTTTCACAATTTCATATATGATAACAGCATCATGTTTTTCAACAGTGCCCAAGCTATCCCTGGCCTCACACTTGTAAACTCCACGATCACTTAACGAGATACCATGAATAGTAAAGACTTGCTTATCAAGTGTAACTCTGCCTCCAACGAGTATCTCCTGGCTTCCACGAAGCAATGTTGTATTGGCATTTGGATCTGTTGTGCGACAGCTGATTGAGTAGTTGGTGGTGCCGTTTAGCTCTATGATAATCTTTTCTGTCTTCAGTCGATCAATGAAGGAAAAGCCTAGTAAAACAAACATATATCATTTATTGGAAATAAATGATTCAAAATAATTAAGTGTTGAAAACAAATTATTGAAGCAGTAATATAGAGCTCTTATTACAGTGAGCAACTTGTGTGTTCTGGTACCAAGAGCCCTCGACAATGGTTCTGAATTTTTTGATTGACAATATATAATTATATATATGTACCCAAGTGTCTAAAAATAACCTCCATTTGATGTGAAAAAAATATACACAGACATGTAACACAGACACAAGAGGCAACAATTTTCAAAGAAAAGATATGCTTCATGATCTGGTAGGTCATTCCGCTGGCCTATTTGCATGATTCTTTCATAAGAGATGGTGAAAATTAGATGCTTACTCTAACGAAAAGGCCACCTACACTGTACATGTACCAAGCTCACATGCCATGTCATAACAACTGGACATTCTCTGTGATATCAAAGTGACTTTAAGCCACTGAACTTCCAAAATGAACTATGAAAGGGTGTTGAGTCAACTGATCAGTTCCTAGTAGTCCAAAATGGAAAGAACATTATGTTTGGCCAAGTACACTTGGTCTAGACTGCTGCCCTGTTAAGCATTTAGGGAACTTAAGCAAACCACGCCGACGACAGCAACGAGAACATTACAAAACAAAAGGTTTAATGAGCAAAACAATACCTGTGCCCGTGCATTTTAAATCATTGTACATTTCCTTGCTGTCCTCTGCAGAACAACAAAGTGAAATGACCAAGTTCTGCGTCGTCTGCGGAACGTGGATGACAACAGCTAATTTTTCGTATTTCCATTTGTAATTGAACGCCGTCGTTGGATGTATAGCATAAGCATGTTTTTAGAGCCATTGGTGTACCGAACAGATCTAGGCAATCGCGAATTTTGCTTGTAAAATATAAATTCATTTTTTACTAGGTGTCATCCTCGGTGTCGGCATTGTCGTTGCTTAAGCTCCCTAATTGATTCAACACCACTGTCAAACACCTTCTAAAGTCATTAGCTTCAAGCAGATTCATGAATTAGACACTGGTGCAGGAGTGTGAGGTGTAATGGTTGCTGGTGTAGTGTAGCATACTCTTGGCTATTGCGAGGAGTGAGAATTGACAGTACAGTATACATTTTTAACATTTTCAAGTCAAAGGCATTCAACAAAATGAGCCTTTTTGAATACAACTATTATAAGCTTACTGAACATGTCTGATGTCTTAAGGCTTTCAATCTTGAGCAAAAGAATGTCCAATGTGGCTTTAATGGCTAGCAGAAGTCAGAATAAAATTATACATCTGAGATTCTACAAGAACATAAAGTCAACATGTATAGAATAATATAACAGAAAGTATTTAATAACATGGATTGCACAGACATCAGTTGTCATAAATTGCTAAATTGTCCACGCTGATGAAAATAAAATTTGCCAGGACATATAAGTACAAAATGTCAGATAAAATAGCAGCTTCCAGTTGTCCTTTGCGGCCATCCCTTTCAAAGATGATCGAAATTGCCATTGTTCCTGAACACGCATAAACAATAAGTAATACAAGAGAAACAATAAGAAAGACAGTGGCGAAAACATGGAAGAAAAAGTGATCAATTTAAAACAAAGCACTTTTGCCTTGGTAGAAAAGAAATTAGACCCTCTCATCGAGAACTAAGAATTCAAGAGGATCTGGTGCTGACAGTCTACAAAAGGTTGAAAGAATTAGGCAGAGCAAAAAAATCAAGAAGCACTGGTAAATATAAAGATGCAAACTTAAAATAAAATAAATACATAGCAGGGTTAGTGTTGATGATGAATCACAACTGCAAAAATAATGTTATCCAAATTTTTTTCCACTTGTGTTAGAGTTCAACCCATATTAAATGGCCACCCTTGGAGAAATGTTTAGTGGCCTCTTAAAGGAGGCTGGCTACCACTTTAAAGAGGTTAAAACATTAGAAAAACCCTCATCACGACTTTGATTTCTAGCCGCCAAATAGGCATGGCCGTTTAATAGGTGGCCACTTAAGGATGGTGCCTACTAAATACAAAGCTTTTTGCACCAGATTTGGACCATGCGGAAAAAGTAGATCTTTTTAAGGGCGATTAGAATTCTCAAAGAAAAATGGGGGTAAACTATACATTTTTTTGCAATAATTAGCCTTGAATCCCAGTAAAAATGCTGACATCAGCATTTTTCTGAAAAAAGGTAACATAAAAACCATTTTTGGTAAGATCTTAATGACAAAATTGTTGCAACAGTGCTTTAGCATCTCAGCCTTCCTCTGGTTCAGCTAAAATACAGTCTAAATAGCTTTTCCTCTCAACCAGAAATTAATCACATGTTTAATAGGCTTATCACTTCCATTTCATAACTTAAAATGTAGTGGTAACCATGCATTTTTTTAAAATTATTAATCTTTTTTGGAAACTTTCACAGTGCTGGTTACATTTTTTCCTGTCACCTCCCCAGTAAGTAAAACATTGGCGCCTCTTGCACTTGTTTTGTGCGCGCAATACGCCATCGGCATGTAAATGTTTACAGTTGGATTTCAGTATAATTTTTGACAGATAACAGCTGGTTTTCCAGCTGGAAGCCGTCGACAGTTAGTGGTTAGCGATACGCTGCTATTCTGGTATTCCTGGTTTTAGCAGATGTTCATTTAACTTGATTTGGTCACAACAAGAAAATTTTGCTTTCATTTCAGTCGTCTACGTCATCACATACTTGGTAGTGTAGTTGATTACCTCAATGCCAACCCTAGCGCGCACGTAGTGGTTAAACCATGCCTTGCGTGAAGCACAGAACGTGTGCGCACTAACACTTAATAACCATCCTTAACAGGGGTTCGACTGTACTTTTGCACAATACTCTATAAACTTCCAAAGCACCAAATTTGTTCTTAAAATGAAAGATTGTTGGTGAAAATTAGAGGTTCTGTAACTTGGAGTACCTTGCCAAATTATGCAATTACAAATTATTGAATATCTTTACAAGTTACTTTTCAAAGAGAACTATAAGTAGTAGCCGCTATAATTAATGTTACATCTGTAGTTCTGCAGTCCTGCCACATGTAAGCTTATATCTTAAAGATGGCGACCATCTGATGATAATGAGATTAACGTAAAGTTTACGAGGAGCTAGGAGTGATCTCCTCTGAGAAAAACGCTAACCAGCTTGCTGAGATCACACTGCTACTAGATAAGCAATCAGTGATGTGCGTAACGACACAGTGGCAAATAGTCTAAATTGAAGTCCATTTATTGACAGAACGAATGTCAATTTTCCCTGACTCATGATAATAAAACATTTTCTGACTTTGTCTTGACCGTGAAGAATTTACTTTCTCTCTTTTCCATGACCATTACTTGACCTCTAGCAACCCGAGATAAAGTTGTTATCGATTCGCTATATCACACAGTAAGCTTATATGACATAGGGAAATTCACGCCCCAGTCAATCATTACAGATTAACATGACCGCGGAAAATATAAACACGATTTCTCTTCGTGCTACTCACCTGAGCCAAGACACAAATAGTTCAAGAAGAAAACAAACTGACAGAGTACGAAAAAGCTTGAAGCCCTACAAAGTGTCGTCATCGCCATTCTTGTGTTGTATAAAGTCGGCTTTAAGAGTGCTTTCGGTGAAATCAATCGCAACAAGCGTGCTGTATTTCCCGTACGTGACTAAAATCCAAACATGCAGCCGTCGGCAGCCTTCATCATGTCACTGGTGTCAATTGGTTGGACAAAACTTGAATTGAGACAAAATTCTTAAAGAACTGAGAAAATAAAACGCTGGTTTCCACCACGGTCACCCAACAGAATTCACGATCAAAACATCCGTTGAATATAAACAGTTCTTTGGTCCGCCTTTGTAATATTTTTTCACTTTTTGCAATTATAGCGCCCGCTGTACATACTGGTCACTGGGCACGTTCCAGAAGGAGTTTGGGCTCCAGTAGCCCCCAGTCCTAGGTTAACTCCTAGCCACCCTACCGTAAATGGTGTCACATAATCACAGGGCAACCATACAAGCTGCGTGTCTGTTTGTATGTTCGAAATATAAAGAAATGTATGGGAATATTAAAGAGTCTTGATGTGAAGTATATATGAAATAATTCATGTTTGAACTGCGGTTGTAAGATGAAAGTTAAAAATGATCATCGCAGTAAATTTTCCAATTTAAGCAATTGGAAAGAAGAAGCCTTAAAAAAATCAGGGCTTCAACGGGATTCGAATCCGTGACCTCCGCGATACCGGTGCGATGCTCTACCAACTGAGCTATAAAGCCACACATTGGAAACGAGGTCAATTAATTGAGTTCATGTCTTTTCCTGAGGAGTGAAATGATGTGAAGTATATATGAAATAATTCTTAAATTCTTAACTTGGAAAATTTACTGCGATGATCATTCTTCACTTTCGTACTTGATCTTTATTGCAAGCAAGTTCTAACCTAGTGAAGATCATTTATGTCTGTTACCCAGGAATAAGTGATCACAGCATCATTGTCGCACAGAAGTAAAAATATGAAAGCGAGACTGGAAAGAAAATTGAATACCTCAGAAAATATATTCACCATAAAGAAAACACTGATGGTATAAAAGGGACATGAATGATCTAAATCGTCCATGGATAACGAGGAAGAATTCAGAAGATGAATTAATTTACCAGTTGAACCAGATGGAATAAGTTCACCGAGGGTCTGCTGGAATTAGCC